CATGTTCCTGAACCACGGCAGAGGGTGAGCGTAGGAAAACCAGAATACTGAACCAGACAGGCAGGAAGATCTGGGACCACAGGTGCCAGAGCCTCTAAACCTCAGCATGATGGATGCAGTTGGCTTCGCTGTGCAGTGAGGTGACAGATGAGGGTGGGGGAGGGCTTGAGCAAGAAGAGCAGATGATGCTTAGCAAAGGGGTCAGAAGAGTGGGTGGGAGGGGAACCTGGGGCAGCACTCCTGTGGAAAACATAAGCTGCTGAGGCCTGAATGTAGATGGGGTTTTAAGGTTTGAATGTTGTTAGATTTTTTGAGAAATGGATGTGTTTTGATTGGAGCAGGTAGATGGTGAAGATAGAGGAGTGACAAAGCAGTAGGTGGGGTCTGTGTAAGTACCAGCATGAAGATGGGGTCAGCACAGGCATGTGCCTATGTCCTGAGTGGCCAGGATGGCTAGGAGTCAGGTGACTCTCTAGGACCTGCTCACTGGGTACCCAGACTCACCTGCCCTATTGTGGCTGTCACAGCCCTTGGGAAGACTGAAGGCCTAGGACAGCCAGACTGTGCAGGTGGGGCCACCTTGGGCAGTGCAAGATTCCTGCTGGCTGGGTCCCTCCTCTGGGAATGACCCACTGACCAAAAAGTGAGAAGTGGTAAAGCTAGAGCATCAGCCTGGTTTGCATGACCCCAAAACATGTGTTTCTTCTGCTGGTCCAAGGCCCTACCCTCAGGTGTCTGCTGGTTCCTTGGTGAAGGAACGGCATAATTGCCCAGCTCAGTTATTGCTGTAAGATGCCTGAGGAGGGCATACTGCTGGTCTGGCTGAGTTCCTAACCTGGCCTTGAATGACATGTTGAAATAAGGTCACCCCTCCTGGCCCGACACCTGGAGGACCCTCCCCAGTGCTGCATATCTCAGATGGTCTCCACTGACCATTGCTAGGACCCCAATGGGCTTCCAACAGGTGCACCCTTTCCCACCCTGAGTGTCAGCCCTGCCTCAGTTTCTCATACAGACAAGCAGGTCGGTAATGAGGAGCTGTGACTCCTAACTTCCCCCTGGTCTTCATCTTCTAGATCAGGTGATATTCCTCTTACCATCATGAAGATGAGTGAACACCAAGCCAGTGAGGGGAGACAGCTTCCTGGCATTGAGTCCTCAGAGACCAGATACCTCGCACTGACTTGAATGGAGAAAACCCCCTCAAAGCCACACAGCCACTGAGTTTTCATAGGACAGGCATCCTTGTTGTGGCAAACATTCCCTCAGGCAGGGTCTAGGACTTGTTTCCGTTCCCGGAGAGCTCACCGGATGCTGTGAATACCTTTCTTTGTGCATTTGAGGAATGCCCATTTCCAAGCCTGAATGTCTGTAAAAGTTTCAATTGTTTTGCCTGCATCACAGGATAGGGTCGCCATGGCCCAGCCCTGGGTGGGGGGTGAGCCAAGATAGAGCATACCTACTTTCCTGAATAGTTTGACTCCAGGCCTGGCCCTGCCAGGTTTTGGAACAAGCTTCCATTTCAGGAGCTCCTCTCTGCCTGTCTTAGCCCATTCAGAACCTCTTTGCGGACAGATGGGTGAAATTTCTTCCAGTTGACATTTGCCGACCATTCTGTCTCCTCATATTGTTCCTGATAAAGCCCAGAGGAAGGCCTCCACCGTCCCAGGGGTGACAGCAGTGCAGAGGGGATAGATTTCACCACGGCCCAGTTTCTGCTGGACAGAGAGCCCGCTGGGTGTTCTGTGCGGTTTGTTCTGCAGTTGCACAGGGAGCAAGCCCAGGGCCCTGAGGCCACAGGAAGGGAAGCCAGAGAGTTCAGAGCTCCTGTTTAGCCGTGGGCAGAGGGACAGGCTACCTAGAAACTCTTCTGCTCATGTAGAATCTTGCAGAAATGCACATATGCGTCAGAAGGAGTGAGGCCTGAGGCTCAGAGCTCTGGCTCCAAGGCAGCAGGCTGGGTGACTCTGCTCCTCCAAGCCCTCCCAGGGATCCAGCTTTTCCATGAAGATCATGAATGCTCATCTGATACCAGCCCCTGTGTGCACCTGCAGCCACTCCCCCTGTGGTCTCTCCCAGAATCCCACTCAGAGGGCATGTGATAGGAGGCTGCTTCAAGATAGACCCTACCTCTCCCAGGGCTCAGCTATGTCAGGGCCAGTGTGATAAAGAGCAGCATAAGAGAGGTCAGAGTGAAAGGACAACACTGCAAGTGACTGGCAGCACCGCAGGGTGTCCACAGTGCAGCAGTAATCCCCTGGTGTGAGAGGACACTGCACCATGCCTGCACAGAGTGCATACCTGCAGTTCAAACCAGGAGGCATCACTTTGGGTGCCTGAGTCCCTGGTTCAAGCTTCAGACCTTCAGCTTCTGATCCCACTTCCTGCGCGTGCACATCCTGGCAGGCAGCAAGTGATGGCCCAAGTGCTTGGGTCACTGCCTCCCGTGTGGGAGACACAGAAGGAAATCTCAGCTCCCAGCTTCCACCTGGTTATTATAGGCATTTGAAGAATGAACCCATTGAGTATATGACAGATCTTGCATTGTCTATGTCTTTTTCTGCTTTTCTGTCTCTCTACCTTTCCAATAAACAGAAAAAAAAAAAAATCTGGCTGGGGCCCAGTACGATAACCTAGTGGCTGAATCCTTGCCTTGCATCCTCCAGAACCCCATATGTTCGTATCCCAGCTGTTCCACTTCCGATCCAGCTCTTTGCTTGTAGCCTGGGAAAGTAGTTGAGGACAGCCCAAAGCTTTGAGACCCTACACCTGCCCGCATGCAAGACCCAGAGGAAGCTCCTGGCTCCCAGTTTTGGATCTGGTCATTGAGGCCACTTGGGAAGTGAACCAGCAGACAGAGGATTTTTCTCTCTGTATCTCCTTCTCTCTGTATATCAACCTTTCCAATTAAGAAAATAAATTAATTTTAAAAAAAAGAAGCAGCTCTGAAGAAGGCTGTTTAAGATTAATCCACACAGTGTAGATATGAATCAGACTGTTGACCTCAGGAACTGAAATGGCATAAGATTGAATGCTTTGCCCAGGTCAGGAACCAGACTGAACCAGCCTGGCCCCCCTTAGCTCCTCCTTTCTCCCTCTCCCCTTAGCCCTCCCCTGCCAATTTCCAAGAAAGGGATGGCTCACTCCTGTCACATCCTTTACATTGCAAGTCACAGCCCGGGGCACCCCCACCCCGTCATCCCTCCTCCTTCCTGCCTCTTTAGTTTATAAACCATCCATTTTGTTCACGCCCCAGGGACAAATCTTTCTGGCCTCAGCGAAACGTGAGTGTCTTGACCGCCCTTGTCAGCAGGGTTGTTTTAGGGCTGGCAGATGACTCCGTTCCTGCTGATGGCAATAGGATAAAGCCAGGAGTGAGGTTCTACAAAGAAGGATTGCTGCGTCTGGCAAAGGGAGGCAGAGGCTGCTCGTCTCGTGGCCTCAAACCCTGCTGTGTGATGACCGTGGTCTAAGGGTAACACGGGGCAAGCAGGAGGGCCCAGCCCCAGGCCTGGGCAGCATTGCTGAGCTGCACAACAGTCCTGAAGTGGCCTCTCTAGACCTGTAGAATGAGATGGTTCAACACAGGGCCTCGTGTCCTATGGTGCACCAAGGCTCTGCTGATTGCCTTGCAAGCAGTCGAGTCGGCTTGGTTTAGTTATCTCAAAATAATAGTGGTGCCACTCTGCTTTCACAGCTGCTCCAAGGCTGGCTGATTTTAATATGGAGACTTTGGGCAGGAAGATGGTTGACCTACAAGTCTGCCCTCCCTGCATCTGGAGCAGAGCGTGCATAATAGCAGTCCTTATAGCTCGGCAACTCCAGGAACAGTCTTCTGCATTTTCACAACTCCCCTTAATGCCCTCCCCAGTGAATGGTACTGAACGCGCCAAGACCATCAGGTGCTACTGTGAGCTCCTCTCTGATCCTGGCCTGTCAACCTGTTCAGAAACCAGAAAGATACAAACAAGCCAAGCCAAGAGAATGGTCCTGGGCTGCCACCTCCTCTCTGCTACACACAGCTGACAGCTGTGCGACTGAACTTGGAGGCAGCTTGCTCTTTGCACGCCTGAGAAAGGCAGCACAAGATGCCCCATAGGCTGATCAGGGCCAATACGAGGATGCCTGCACACTCAGAGAGTCCCCACATGCAGGTGCTGTGAGTGTGCAAATGAGTATGTGGGTCAGAAGCAGGAAGGGAAGGGACTGGTGAGGGCGGGGGAGGGGAGCAGGGAGATGAAGAGGGAACCCGAAGCCCAGCCTCTGAAATCTTACCCTCAGAGGCTGGGAAGGGAACCGATCCCAGCGTAGACTACATTTCAGATTGTTTCAGTTTCATAATCTCAAAAAGTGAACATCGGCCTTTCTTGTGGATTCTGAAAGTACTTTACTGAAGGAGAAAGAAAAAGTGGTCAGGTTCTCACCACAGCACTGCAGGGGTCCTTTCTGAAAGGGGACTAAGTTTAAAATTTCTTTTCTGTTCATTTCTGTGGGTTTTCCATTTTCCTTGTTCCACACGAATTCATTTTAAAATCGGGGTGAGGTGTTGGGAGTGGGATAGTTCCCATACGATATGTGGAAATCACCAGGTTATAATTGTGGGCTCAGGCCCAGCCAGAGCTGGGTGTGGCCAGGAGGGCTGTCCCAGGATGAGACGCACCACTGCCCTCCAGGGGATCCCCCTGCTGGGTCAGTGCAAATGCCCAGGCTGTAGTAAAGGAGCCTGCCAAAACCCAGCCTGGGCAGCATCTGCTGCAGCACGAGCCTGAACCACCAGGCACAGGGCTTGATCCTGTGACCTTCCTATCACTTCCAGAACGTAAAGCACAGTGTCTGCTTCTGAGGTCAGAGGTCCTCTGATGGACATCAGGACGTAGCCAGTGTCTGGCACGTGGCTGTTGAGTCATGTTTATCATCTCTCTCCCTGCCCGTGGCGGGGGAGAGTCCTGGGCTTCCCCTGCACTTGCAGCACAAGCCCACATGTTCTTCTTACCCTTCAGGCCCCGCAGGGTGGAGCCTGTGTGTTCGGCACTGCAGGCCCAGATCCTGCGCTGCTATCGCGACAACCTGCATGAGGCTTTGCTGTGCTCAGACCTGGTCAAGACATACCAGCACTGCGTGAGCACCGCTCACAAGGTAAGGCCTCGCCTGCCTCCTGGGGAGGCAGACCCCTGTCCACCTGGCTTGGCCCCATCAGACACTACCTACAAGTCTCTGAGTTAGCCCCCAGGAGGGTTCTTAGGACTAGGGTTTCCTCAGTCCTCTCCCCATTCCAATGTGTCCATGAGGATCTTGGACATGTGACCCAGGGGACATGGTTCCTGTCTGCTTTGCCATTACACTGAGCCAGCCCATCCCCCCCCACACACACAAGGTATTGGCACGTATGTGCCCCACACTCCTCACCTGTGCGTGCTTGGGAGCAGGAAGCGTGGAGGAGGCCCCGGATGGTAGTTGTGGCAAGAACCAAGATGATATAGGAGGAAAAGGGCCAAGAGTGGATGTGGCTCCCACGGCACAACCAGCATGCAGGTCCAAGGTGAGCAGTAGCCCCTGCCTCCTTAGCAAGGATTCCTGGTTCTGGTGCTTTCCAGCCCACAGCCAGTGGCTGTCCTGGACACCTGAGGTGTAACTCCCCAAGCTGTGCCAGCCTTTCTCCTCAGTACCTCTGGCCTCCCTCTGCTTGACTCTAGGAGTCTGTGGTAAAAACAGCCATGGTAAGAGGCCACATGCACCCCAGCCGTGCCTCCCTCTCAACTGAGCCACATCCCGCCAGACCAGGTGAGCACCATACCACTGCTCTGCTCGCTCATGCCAGCCTAGCCAAGGTGCCTGCCCCATGGCAACACTGACTGTACTTCAGCAGCCAGAACTAAACGTGGCAGCAGCAGCTACTCGGGGGATGGCTGTGTGAGGAGAGAGAGAGGCTTCCTCCTGTGTCACCGAGTGTGGAAAGCTACTCGCTCAATTTCAAATTGAGCACAAAGATGACACAAGCCCTCCCCACAGAGTGTGAGCAGGAGGAGCCAGGCACCTGCGGGCTGGACCCCACCCACAGTGTGGACACTCCATGAAGTCGTTGTTTCCCATTTTGTCCCCAAGATGGAGACCTGCCCCAAATCCTTTCCCTACCCAGCTGAGGGAGCTCCAAGTCCCTGGTCGTCACATAGTCAATCTGTTACTAACAAAAGCCCCCAGGTCCTGCCATGGCACCGGGCTTCCTGGCAGAGCCCAGCCTCCATGTCCCCAGGCCTGCACCTCTCCACCTGACTGCCCGTCTGTGGCTATTGTCAGACCCAGCCTCTGCCCCAACAGGAATGTCTTGCACAGGCACAGTCCACCAGTATGTCTGTTGCATGAAGGAGGATGGCATTAAGGCTCAGTGTGAGGCAGTAGCTCCTGCATGCCTTAAGTAGGCCTTGGGACACTGCCAGGTCCAACCCCTGTTTCCCTGTCCCCACTCCTTACCCTGTGAAAGAGAAAACTGGAGACTAAGCACCTGGCCATGGCAGAGACCAGCAAGATTGCCACCTCCCCAGGGAAAGGATATGCAGTATGTATATGTGCATTCTGGGAGAGCGTGTATGACCTGGCTTAGCACCACGCAAGAGGGTGGCACCCTGTGTATTAGTAAACTATCCCTGCCCTCTGGCAGCCTCTCCCTTGGAGGGCTCCAGGCAGAACCAGAGATGAGGGAATCTGCTTCTGGAAATAGCCAGGTGGCAGAGCACAAGGGTGTGGAGGCTGGAGAAGGGCTGGACTGCTTCTCCCACCACCCTGCGTTCCTGGAGGCGGCTTGGCCACCCACGTGCTGCCTTCTAGACCCTGGCCTGCATGCCTTTGTGTGGGTATGCCCAGCATCCCTGAGCCACAGACAGAGCCCCACAGCATCTCAAAGGCAAGGGCCTGATCGTGCAGACTCTGCTGCCCCGGTGCCCTCTCTGTGTCTCATTGCAAACATCCAGAGTCATTAAATAAGAGAGCAGGGAGGACCTTGCTGTGACAGAGCAAAAGTGGGTCATGACTGTCTCAGACTTGCAGGCTGCAGAGCGTACAGGAATGGAAGGCATGTGGTGCGAGCTCTTACCTCTAGGGACATGTGTCAAGTGAAGGCCCATCCCGCTCCTGGCTCCGGGGGCCCAGGTGTGCAGAGGCTCAAGCCCAGTCTCGAGGGGACCCAGCTGGCGAGGAGGGAGACTGACTCACACACAGCTGTAGGGAAACAGTTGCTGGCTGCGGCTTAGAACCGCGGCAGGCCTGCAGGAAGACAAGGGCTGGGACTGAACTCTGACCCCTTCTGCTTGCAGGGTTGAGAAGCAGCCATCACTCCTGGCCCTGGCGGTGACTTGGAGCCCTGAGGAAGGGACCGATCATGGGACCACAGTCCACGGAGCCCAAGCCACAGCCGCCTTGGTCTGCCATTTCCTGCTGGGACCCCCACATATGCCTCTGAGCTCGGGGCTACTGCGTCCTGAGAGGAAACAGAGTATGTGCTCACGACCGAAAACAAATAAAGCAGATGTCTTTGTTTTCAGTCATTCGCTCCCTGGCAGGCAGTCCCCGCTGCCCACTCTGTGTCCAGCCTTCTGTTGGACATTGGTGATGCAGAGTCCAGTTAGGCAGGCAGGCAGGCACGGAGGGGCAGGAAGGTGCTAGGGGAGACACCTGGAAACCTGTAGTTATGCTGTGACAGCAAAAGGCCATGGCAGAACCTGATACAGGGCAGACTGAGGGCAAAGTGGTTCTGCTGGGGAAGAGGGTGGGAGCGGGGAACTGATCGCTTCCCAAGGAAGGTTGCATGTGCTCAGACATGGAAGTAAATCTGGGTGTGGGGCAGGCCGGAGATGGGGGTGCAGGTGCAGGAAGGGGAGTAGGGGTCTAGGCTGGGCGACTGAGGAGAACAAAGCAGGGCAGGACAGGGAACAAAGCTGCAAAGGCGGCAGGGCCAGGCTGAGGGACAGGGGGTCCCAGGGCAGCCAGGGAGCGGCACCCTCAGATCTCTGAGTGATGTCGCTCTGCTCTCAGGCTGAGGCTGGGCAGAAGGCAGAGAGCGCTGCAGTCAGCCATGGGGCGTGGGCGGGCTCGGCCTGCAGGTGTGGAAACACAGCCAGGGCAGGTTGAGGAGCCACACTGGCAGGGCTCTGAGGGTGACTGGGCAAGGGGAAGGTGAAGGCTGGGGTGAGTCCATTGATGGGTGTGCAGAGGAGGCAGGTCATTAACGGGGCCTGGGCTGTGCTCAGCTTCTGGCTGCCCAAACACCTGCCCTTCCTGGCCTTGACCTTCACCACAGCCAAGCCAAGGTGCTGGCCACCCCTTAGTCTGCACGTGCTAGAGCAGGAGGGGCCTGGGTGGAGCTTGTGATTCTCTAGCCACTCTGCTTGTGACCTTGGTTTCCTGTTGACGTTTGCCTGGGGAGTCCCCAAGCCATCTGGCGCTGAGAACTGCATTCCTGGCTGGGCCTTCCCAGTGCAAACGTCACTGCTCCTCCCCCACATTCTCACATACTCAAAACTCAAGGGGAACGTGTAGGCTGGGGAGTGCCCGATTGTCAGGGCAGGTGCACTCAACAGTTCTATCCAGCCAGGCTTTGCCTCAGCTGAGAGGAACATTGCCCTGGGCCCCAGCCTTTCGGGAAGCTCTGGGTCGGCCTAGCTAACCACAAGGAGCTCAGGAAGCACAGAGAGGATTAAGAGGGTCCTGACCCGGGACCGGAGTGGGGCTGGGGCGGAAGGGGGGTCAGAGGTCATCTGGTGCAGTAACCTTGTTAAGTGACATCAGAGCCACCCTCCAGCCAGAAGCAAAAAGAGGCCCTTTGAGATGGTCCGAAAGGCTCACCTCTCAGGATCAACTTGCAGATCTTCATATTCCTCTCCGGGCTTCATTCGGGGTCCAGGGTGGGAAACACACACACCCTGACTGGGCACCACACACAGGTCTGTACCAGCTCACTCTGTCAGGTGACATTCAGCCCCTAGATCTCATGGCTTAAAACAGCACCCATTTTATGTGGCACAGGATTCTGCAGGGAAGAGCTTAGCCTCGGTCCACTCGGCTTCTTCATTGGGCTTGCTCATGGATCTGTGGGTAGTTATAGGCCATGTCTAGCAGCTGGCCAGGCCACCAGGCTCACCTGTATAGTATCAAGTTCCATTGTAGCCTGTGGCAGCAAGCCTAGTGGGCGAGGACTTCCTTACCCTCTGCCTGCTGCCTCACTTCCTTTTGTCCCCAGGTGGCCAGAATCTTGGTAAAATTGCAGCTGCACTCTATTTGGAATGCACCAGAACAAGGGTGATGTCTCTTGGTTGGGCAGGGCCTTGTCTGAAGAAGCAGCCAAGAGTGGGGACTAGAGAAAGCTGCCTGCAGGTGGGCTGCACAGTTGGCACAGACGCAGCAGCTGAGGGGAACCCTCCTCCAGAGGCTTTGGGGTGGGAGGAAAGTGTGGGCAGGGGCCAGGGGGTCATGGAGGGACCTAGACCCCAGCACCCCTCCTCTGACTTCCCTTTCTTCTGTGCTCTTAGTCCAAAGCTGCCCAGGGCTACCCTAGCCCCATTTCCTTCATAGCGCTGTCAGGAGGCAGAATTACAACGGATTCCGTTTAAAGATCTTAATTAGTTTTCATTTGCGACTCAAATTGGGCAATACCTCGCTCTGTAACATAGAATGGGTGTTGCTAAGAGCAGAGGCAGAGAAAGTTGCTTTTCTAGAGAGAAGAAGGCTGTAGAAGGCAGGTGCCGAGGACAGAGTGGACTGCGTGTTGCAGTTACCGTCCTTGTAGGGGGAGCCTTCTCAGTGTGCTGGCTCAGATAAAACAGCCCCCTTTAACTGGTTGCTGTGCTTCTCCTGCTTCTTCAGGAAAAATCGCCTGTTTTTTAAGAGCACAGTCTGATTAGGTAGCATGTAGCATGAGTGGCTCCCTTTGGCTCTGGTCTAGTCTGCTGGGGCCCCTTGCAGGAAGCCAAAACAATGGCCTTCTGTGAGTTTCATTTAACAGTGCTCTTAGGGCCCCCAGATCCACACATCTATCCAAAGATCTTTCAAGACCTTCATAAACTGCCACTTGGCCTTGCAAAGAAAACACAGCCCTCACTTGGCCAGCCTGCCTGCCCGCTCGCTTCCTGCCACCCCACCTCCTTCCCTGGGTCCAGCGCTCACAGCCCTTTCCCCAGACCTTACCTCCTCCTTCCCTGCACAGACTTCCCACCCCATACATACCCGGGGGTGCCTGCTATCTGTGTAACACCACTCAAGGCTCAAGTCCTCCACGGAGCCCACATCCCCTCAGCTCTGGGATGTGTTCAGCTCTTTCCCGTGGAGTCTCTCCCCCATAGTTTCTGTAAGAACTTTGCACTAGGTCGAGGGGAGCAGCTGCTGATTGTACTTAACACATGCAGCCCTCTCTCGACTCCTTAGTTCTGCGCAGGACCCATGTGCCCAGGTAGGCATGCACAGGTGTGCGAAGGTGTGTGTTTTGGAATATACTGTATGATCAGGAGTGTGTGTGTGTGCACATAGGTGTGTGTACACATGTGCTGTGTGTCCCTGTGTGCATGCATGTATGAGTGTGCACACATGCATGTCGTTGTCATATGAACTTGTGTGCTCACAGCTGCACCAGCCAACTTGAGTTTGCTGCCAGGCAGCTGGACATGCTTGGCACCTCCTCATAGTCCCAGGCCCCTCCAAACCCTGACTGGAAGCTCGCCATTTCCCAACCTTTGTGTCTCCCCTGCTGGTCAGGAAGTGTGGGTACACAGAGCCATCAGCATCACTGTGTTGGGGTGTGAGTGTGCATGGCATGCTTATGTGAGTGCTTGTACCTCCACATGCCATAGGGGGTTGGGGCTGAGAGAACATTGCATGGGTAGGCTAATCAGAGCAGGGCTGCACCTGCCTGCAGACACATGGTAGGGGGAGGGGCTCAGGCCATCCCATCCGCCCCCCATGAGATCATTTGAAGGTAAAATGGACAGCCCTCCTTTCTGCTTGCAGGGAGTCAAGTGTGATGGTGTGGCTGTGGCATTCAGGGTGGAACTGGGAAGACAGAAAGTACCTTTCTTTCTGAAAACGGGAAGGGATTAGATGCAGGCGATCGAGCAGCACAGGGGAACGGGAGCTGAAAGCCCTGTGGCATGAGCTAATGGAGCCAGGATGCACAGCGGCGGGCACCCCTGTCACTCCAGGGCATGGAAGGAGGAGTGGCACAGGGACAGGCAGGATCACCCAATGCCAGCTGACCTTGTTCAGGGGAGCCGAGGAGACACAGTTGCCACAAGAGCTGCCTGTGTCAAGGAAGGTTGGTGCTGTGGCTTCTGCATGCTGCCACCTCCAGCCTTCATTAGTGCCTCTCAGGGAGGGCTGCATGCAGCAGGAAGCCAGAGAGCCAGGCAGCCGGGAGCTGCCGCCTGCCACCACGCCTGCTGCACATTAGTAGATCTAAGAAAGTGGCCCCAGGGGACTCCTTGGTGAGACTGTTGGGGGTATATTGAGTAGGCACGAGTGACTGATGCGTGTGTGTGTGTGTGTGCGTGTGCACCCGTGTTTGGATGGGTATGAATGACATGTGAATGGTGCATGTACGCATATACCTGTACATGCTCATTCCTGTGTCAGCAGACAGCTAGCTCACAGAGAACAGCGCCAGGAATCACACCTTTAGTTTTTCAGTCTCTTCCCCTACATCAGGTTTCATGCCAGGCCCTTTACATATATGTTCTTATTCAGTCTCACCCCCCGCCCCAAGGAGGCACTAGCTGTTATGATCACCCTCATTTTTATAGATGAGGAAACTGCACCACGGAGCATGTTTGTGACTTTCCTATGAGCACACTGCAAAAGGACCAGGGCAGAGCCATACTTAGTGCTCACTGTGCCACTGCAACTGCTGTAGAAACAGGGCCTCAGGGAGACCCTGCTCCGTGGGACCACTCTCGCCATGCCCCCACTTCCTTGGCTGCTCAGGACACAATGACCAACCACAGTTCATTTCTTGCCACATCTGTCATTCATACCCAGGGAAGGGGAGGGTTGTCTAGCGACACAAGGCCAGTGTCAGAGATGTTGTCACAAGCAAGGTGGCCCCAAGTCCAAGGGATGTAAGCCCTGTGAGCTGGATAAGGCCTGCCTTGCCTCAGCTACTGGTCCCCCTGGTCCTCCTATGGGGGCTACAGATGTGACCAGAGGCACCCAGAGACAATCTGGCAGCTGGGAGAGGGGTCCGGAGCAAAGTGATTGCTGTGGCTGCTGCTGCAGGAGGTGAAGCACCACGACCTCTCCAGAAGACACAGCTGGTGACATGGCATCAAAGCGTGCAGACTAACAGAGCACGCAGACCAACAAAATCCCAGTACATCGCTGCGTCTGCTGTTTACAAGACAAGCGCCTTAATGAGGAGGACACAAGTTGGAAACAGCAGAAACATCCACCTGCAAACGCCAAGCGGGAACAGTTATATTAACACCAGGCGGCAGCCTTAGGAGCATCCATAGGAGACGTTTGGGTCATGAAACTCAAGGTAAAGACCTAGAACCCCTGAGAAAAG